CCCCCCCCTCCCCGCCACCTCGCAGCCTGTGAACTACAGTATAAAGGGGTTCAGAGACTCTGCCTCCATAAACAGATCTCTGGGAAAGAGTCTGCGAGCGAATACTTGAAGGAGAAAAAGGGCAAAGCTGCAAAACAAAACAGAATCCCAGTGGCACCATGGGAAGAGCTGCTTCTGGATCTCCCACTTTTCTTTCCTCTCTCGTGATGTCACGATTCATCTTCTAATTTAGCAGACAGAACATTTGTGTGAGGAACTTAATAAATTGTAGAGATGCACTGAAATAATCATAAAGATCTGAATGCAAAATAAACATGAACTTGAAATCTTCCGGTAACTGCGGGGCAGTTAGCACGCAGGCTACGCTGATGTCTGATTTGGCTACATGCTAACATCAGCTGAAAGTCTGCTTGGCCAAATATTTCTATTATATTAGCATTTGAATAAGAGACAAGCAAATAAAAGGAGGATATCAGATGACAGTGATTGGAAGTGACAGAGTTGATACAGGATCAAACTAAAGTAATGTAATGTAAACCCTACTTTAAAATGTGATCAGAATATTTGACTGAACTGTTGTTCAAAAGAAACAAACCTCCATCTTATCTCACCACGTTAGAGAAAAGAAAGAATCTGCTCAGAATAGTGATGTGTTCTTCCAACTTTGAGTAAAACTGCTGACAGACAAAAAAACTCAAGTGACAAACGGCAATGAAAACAGACAGACAGACAGATGAGGAGCTCCTACAACAAAAAAAGCAGCAGGTGGTGACTTACAACGAGTATTGAGAGTCTTTGCACAAACAACAACACAATTAAACAGTTTTCTGAACCGTTCTTTCTGTTTACTACCAGGATGTTTCCTGAAAGCGACTAAATCAGTGCAAACAATTAGCTTCATATTGCAGCTTCCTTCTAAAGAAATCAAAGTATCAGGATACCGAACTCTGCAGGACGAAAAAAAACAACTACCCCCGTGGCTCGTGGCTGAAGCAAGAGGAAGCTATGAGGCTAACAGATGTCTTAGATACCCCCGATTGATTGATTGATTGATTGATTGATTGATTGATTGAAGTGAGGGGGAAGTGTTTACCAGCAAATCTTCACGAGCTCCACTTGTGTTTTCCTTTGTAAACTATTTTCCAGTTAAAAGTCTCAGTGTTTCAGATCGAGGCTCAGAGGGGAAACTGATGTGGGGTCTGTGTGATTAGCACAGAAGCATATCTTTCAAAGAAATGTCAGCGTTTCTTGAGATGTGGGCTGAACGGGCAGCACCGTGCAGAGAGCGCTTGAATGAGGCTGCACGAAGACGCGGCAGCTGTGAGAAGAAAGTGGGATTAACGAAGCTGATTTAAAAGGATTAGAGGGTCCGACAGAAAACAGAGGACCACCAGGACGCCTCCTGATGCACACGGGCACGCACGCGCATAATCCTGTTCAAGTGGTTTGCTGCAAATTGTTTGCCCCCATAGTCGTCGCGATTCAATCCGTAAAAAGCACAGCGCGGTTGACAGGAATGAAAGCAGGGGGAAGACGAGGTCAACAGGCGCGTGGGGAGTGTGAGAGATTTACTGTGGAGAGCAAAACCATAAAAATCAATGTGACCTAAAGTGGTGCAAGATTATCGCGTGTAGAACAAGAGCTTTGTAATGTGGCTCGTGAGGCTGACGCTCCGTCAGGGAAGTGATACCGTTCTGCAGCGTGGACGCCAGCCGCCACGTGCTCACAGACTGTTTGTCTTCTTCTTCATCCTTTCAAACTCTGCGGCAACAGTTTGTGTTTCTCTCTTTGACATGACGGTGTCCCTGTGCACAAAGCCAGTGTGGTGTGACTGGTCTGGACCGGCCTGCACTGAGCTCAAACCCCGTCCAACTCTGGCGCTCTGACTGTGAGCCAGACCTTATCACCCTCCATCAGTGTTGGACCCCGCTGATGCTCCTGTGGCCGAGCGGGAACAGATCCCTGCAGCCTGGTTCCAAATCTGGTGGAAACCAAAAACAGCAGAGGCAGCAGATTAATGCCAGAGGTTTTGGAATGACATGTTCTGCAGGGACACGAGTGCACAGAGATTTTTATCTTCACAGAGGAGGTTATGTTTTTGTTGGTCGGTTTGTTTGCTTGTTTTTCAGCAGAATTACAGAAAAGGTTCCAAACTGATTTTTACAAACCTTGGGGGGGGGGGGATTTATCA